TATTCTATTCTATTCTATTCTATTCTATTCTATTCTATTCTATTCTAAACATTTATAGTCAAATAAGAAATGTTATGGTCAAAACTTCATAGCACTCAAAAGTTTCAGGAGTTTGAAGTTTGGAATACACCTTACAAGATGCAAGAACTATAAACATCTGCTCTGATGGTTACTTATAGCAACTGAGAAAATTCATTAGATTATATCAAGCATCATAGGAAGACAAACTCATACAACAATTTTTTTCCCTTTTCTACAAATGGGCTCTTCTAGATGATTGTGCAAAGTGTTAGTAGCACTTTATAATGCCTTGGTAAGATCACACTTGGAATATTGCATCCAGTTTTGGTCACCACAATATAAAAGAAGACACTGAAACTCTCGAAAGAGCACAGAGAAAAGCAACAATGATTAGGGAATCCAGATTCACTTGACAACTGTGTTACTAATTTAAGAAGTTTAACAACTAGGGAACTGGAGGCTAAAACATATGAAGAACTGTTGCAAGAATTGAGGATACCTAGTTTAATGAAAAGAAGGCTGGGGGGGTGCACATGGTAGCGGTGTTTCATTATCTAAGGCAGGGGTGTCCAACCTTGGCAACTTTAAGACTTGTGGACTTCAACTCCCAGCAAAGCTGGCTGAGGAATTCTGGGAGTTGAAGTCCACAAGTCTTAAAGTTGCCAAGGTTGGGCACCCCTGATCTAAGGGGATGCATCAAGGAAGAGGGAGTTAGCCTATTCTCCAAAGCATCTGAAGGCAGGACAAGAAGCAATGGAAGGAGACTAATCAAGAAGAGAACCAACCAAAAACTAAGGAGAAATTTCCTAACCATTAGAACAATTAACCAGTGGAACAACTCGTCTTCAGAAGTTATGGGTGCTCCGTTACTGGAGGCTTTTAAGACAATCAATCTGGACAATCAATCTCGAATGGTATAGGGCTGTAATGGCAAACCTATGGTGGGCACACGAGCCATCCCCCAGCTCAGCTCTACCGTGCATGCATGTGCGCGCCTCCTGCTGGCCAGCTGGTCTTCAGGTCTCTGCCACACATGCCGGGGCACAGGGTGCATGTGCAAGGGCATGGAGTGGGGCTCATGTGTGGGGACACGTACGCATGTGCAGGGGTGGGGTGCAGGGGTGGGGGATGCACATGCATGCGTGGGGGGCAGGGTGCATGCTCTGGAATGCACGTGCATGCGTGGGGAATGGGGCCCATGCACGGGGATGGGGCCCATGCGTGGGGCACGCACGCATGCCGGGGATGCACGCACATGCACAGGGGACGTGCACATATTGCATTTTGGGGATGCGTGCACATGTGCTTTGGGCCGAAAAGGTTAGCCGTCACTGGTATAGGGTCTCCTGCTTGAGCAGGGGTTTAGATTAGAAGACCTCCAAGATCCCTTCCAACTCTATTATTCTGTTATGATCTCTCACCTTCAAAAGCGGATCTGAATTGGGGGCGTGGGGAAGAGGAATGCACCGAAAAGTAATCTATTCTGTAAGCAAATATTCCGCCCAATGTTTTTTGTTGTTCAGCAAGACAGTTGTTAAGTGAGTTTTACTCCATTTTTATCATTTTCTTTCTTGCCACAGTTGTTAAGTGAATCACTGCACTAGTTAATAACATGGTTATTAAATGAACCTGACTGCCCCATTAACTTTGCTTGTCAGAAGGTCACGAAAAGGTGATCATCTGACCCCAGGACACTGCAACCATCATAAACATGAGTCAGTTGCCCACCGGCCAAATTTGGATCATGTGACCATGGGGCCGCTAAACAGTCATAAGTGTGAAAAATGGTCATAAGTCGCTTTTTTCAGCGGCATTGTACCTTCAAATGGTCACTAAATAAATGTAAGCTGTAAGTTGAGGACTGCCTGTATTGTGAATTCACCTAGCACTGTTCTTAATTGCTTTGTTAATAGCTCAGCCTCCAGACCACTAGAACTCAAAATGTCCTTGCTTCAATGTTTTCTCTCCTACTGATTGTAAAGCTTACCTATCTATAAAATACATACCGTGTTTCTCATATAATAAGGCTGGGTCTTATTTTTTTTTGAGCCCCGAAAAAATGGCTAGGCCATCTTTTCGGGGGTGACTTAATTCCCCCCCCCTTGCATCTTCGGGTGGGCAGGCAGTGATGGCTTGGATGTTGATCTCGGCGTTGGTGGGGCACTTTGTATCAGGGTCAACACAGGCAGCACCATATCCGGGTGTGCAACAAAAGTACTTCCTAACGGCAAGCCCCCCCCACCATTCCCCCCCATTTCGCATGTTTTAATATAGGCCTTAATTTGGGGGGGGAGGGGCTTAATTTCATTTCATGCCTATAAAACATGCTGGGACTTCCTATTGGGGGAGGCCATATTGTTGGAGAAACAGGGTATAAGTCTACCAAAATACAGTTGGGAGGTTTTTGTTTTTTTTAAGAATTTATCAAGGTAAAGAACAGGGTGGCTATGCTATATCTGCCCCAATTCTAGAATTTAAAAATAAAGTAATGCTGCTTTTTGTCTTATATGCAAGTGCTGCTAATTTTCTTAATTAGAAGAATATACAAGCCAAAGAGACAGATTTTTTTTGGTTAAAGTTAAATCTGAACCAGGCATTTAGAAGGTAAAAGATATCCTGTAAAGCAGGGGTGGGCAACTATGGCCCTTTTATGAATTATGGACTTCAACTCCCAGAATTCCTGAGCAAGCCATGCTAGCTCAGGAATTTTGGGAGTTGAAGTCCACAAGTCATAAAGGGGCCATAGTTGCCCACCTCTGCTGTAAAGAATGCTTAAGAATGTATCTTACGAATGTTTAATAAAAAACAACAACAAGAAATCTCCAAATATAGCAATGGCTTTCTTACCTAGAACTACACCTACTGAGGCTGGCAGGACACGAGGAATGTTTTCAAGCAGCCCTCCTCCAGTAATGTGGGCATATGCTTTCACATCACCTGAACGAAGTACTGGCAAAAGAATCTT